TCCGTCTTGTCCTCCACCCTCTGTCTCTTATACACATCTAGATGTGTATAAGAGACAGGCCGGAGAGAGCGCGTCGACCAAATTGCCGAGGAGAGGATAATAATGATTGGATCACCCATTCGGGCTTGTGGGTTATCCTCCTCCTTGTTTTCCAAGAGCAGCCTTGAAAAGAAACGAAATGAATGAATGGCAAATTGCGCACAACATATCGGTGTCGGCTCGATCTCCTCAGTGTCTCGTGGTGTAAGAGCGACGTTTCGGAACACTCCTCCCGGCCCTTAAATTCTGTTTCCGCTTCTCGGTTTGGTGACTACCCGCTCCCTCCCCACCACGACACACTCGTACACACGTCGGTCGATTTGAGGAAAAGCAACCACGTTTCTTTTTCCTTTGGGGGGGGCGGAGGGGGGGGAGGGGGGGGGAAGAAGGGGTGGGTTGGTTAATTGCTAACACTGGGCGACGTGGTGAGTCCTGTTCCATCAGTCAAATGCATCCTGGGCAGACTGTCGGTCCAGGTTCATGCTCCTGATGAGACGTTGAAAGGCAGACGCATCAGTCTGGCACAGTCATGCTGTTGTTTGTGGAGTTTGTGCATGGCGCATATGACGACACACAAAGAGATATTAGACACGCAGAGAGAGACCTACCTGTTTTGGTCCTGTTGTGCCCATCGGATATGTCTGCTCGACTATTTCGATTGGAGGAACTCTTTGAGTGGAATTACACGCAGCCGTTCGTCCCTGTCCCACATCGGCATGAAAAAACAGGTCCGCATCAACTGCAGCATGACTGGTTTGTTCTTTTTTTTTTTTTTTTTTTTGGTTTGTTGATTCGACTTCATTGTATCGGTTTCCCCTCGAACGGCGAATAAGGGCGTCTTAAAGACCAGATACTTGACAGAGAAGAGCGAATAAACAGGTCCGCATCAACTGCAACATGACTGGTTGAAATTCTTTCAAAATTCTATGTAAACATTTTCTATATGGGACGCTGGGCCCGGTTCCCAGCACGTGCTGCTCCCCACGAATACATTGGAGCCTTGTTTCCATTTAAAAAAAAAAAAAATCACATGACTTGCCTGGTCATTCGACGAAACCTTTGGGCGAGATCCCACTAGCAAAAACGATTGGAATAAGTGTCTGAATCTGGACGTTGCAAAAAACTGTAATTGATCTGGTTTTCTGCATCTCTGCGTGGAACGTGTCCTGATTCAGACACTTATTCCAATCCTCTTTGCCAGTGGGATCTACTGGCCCTTTGTATCGGTTTCCCCTCCGCACGGCGAAAAAGGTGCCGCAGACCCCCAAAATCACTTTCGGCGTCATTTTCGCACCCCTTGCGGCACCCCAAGATCACTTTCGGCGTCATCTTTTAACCCCCTGGAAAACACTTTCCCGCCATTTTCACTCAGAGGCCGTTACCGGGGACTACAGTAGGTCCCACTGACTCGAATTAAGAGATCTTAACCGTAGGGAGCACAGATCAACGGTCAGAATCTCGTAATCCGTGCAAGTGGGACCTTGCCCCGGCCCAGCCAGGGTGCAAAAATGACACTGACACTGGAAGTGATTGGTTTCTGCGGCACGTTTTTTCTTATTTAGGGGGGAAATGGATACAAAGTCTTTGTCGCGGGGAGGAGGTTTTATGACTTTTCCCCAGATTAGACACAAAAAAAAAAAAGGGAATTTACCTGGGCTGGTCAGTCCGATCATAATGCCTCAAGGCCATCGCCATTTCCAAAAAAAAAAAAAAAAAAGAAGATATTAAGCTGATCACAAAACAGATACCTCACCTGATCTTACGTCGCCAAAATGCCGAGAATGGGATGAGTGGAATGGATATATTTGCGCCATAGCTTCCATAGCTTCGGCTTATTACGGTTCCCTCCCTCCCCCTCCCCCGCCCCGCCTCCCCCCTCCTCCTCCTCCTCCTCCTCCTCCTCAAAATTCAAACTTACTGGTATTATGATTTCATGTCTTGTGCTTCATACTATATCTAGATTGATATCGACCTTTGACTCAATTCGCTCTTGTCTATGGTATATCGACCTTGATTCAATTTCGCTCTTCTCTAATAGATGGTATGCTCCTCCTAGGCTCCTACCAGTCTTTTGGTCGTCGTTTATATAGGCAGCCAGCGCTCAACCTGTCATCCACGTGGCTGGCCTTGTACGTAAGAGGTTATGAACAGGTGGAGCTTTCCTTACCTCTTCCCCCTCCCCCTTTTTTCCTTTTCCTTTTTTCTTTCCCCTTTTTTGCGCTCTGATTCACAATGTGACAATATATACTGATGAGTCGGTGAAACTCCGACGAAACAGTTTGTCACAGCCCCTCGTTTGTTGTCCTCTTCTCCCTCCCTCTCTGCCTACGGTTTACCGGCCAGTTCTATTTGACGATATATATATCTATTTGACGATATATATGTGGCGATATATATGGAGTTCCGTGTTGGTCTGCAATTCCTGTGATTGACGATTTGACAACAAAAAAGGGGAAAAGCGGGAGGGAGGGAGGTGGATGATGCGTTTTCTCCTACTTTTTGAAAGGGTGAAGGCCTTGACTCTTGAGATAATATGACCTTCACACTGACTGACCCCTTGTAAATTCGGACGACTCATCTGAGTCCGTTGGCCCGTTGGGAATCGGACGATCGTCTGTGACTTGAACGGTGTATCATTCCATTTTTTTTTCTACTTTTTAAAGAAGAAAGAGAAAAGGGCTCATGGGCTTACAGGACTTTTATCGAGGAAATGGACCTGAATGTGCAGCCGCGCACGGGTACTACCTGTATCGGGACGGAATTACGGCCTGCAGCTTCGTCGTGACAGGGGCAATCGTGAGATTTTGGTCTCCATATAAAGAGGTAGTCATTGTCTGTCCCACCAGATGGAATGCAAGGATGTCGCACAGATCAATCCCTCTATGGCTATGAGGTAAAGTGTGCGGCTGGGTGGCGTTGGATATCACTGCTCTGCTGTGTCCCGCTGGGTTCGACTGGATGTGCGTCGCAGCCGTCGCTGAGGTCGTCAGGTTTCCGTTTGTGCTTTATAGCGCTCTTGCAGCGCTTGTCTTAAATGCCTTTTCGGGGCTTTTCTTCTGCTTCTTTCCCGCGTTGCAACCGGTGCATTGTATCGGTTCATTTGAATGTGTATCATTTCGGCTTGTGGGATTTTACTTTCGGTTTGTGCATTAAATTCCTTCGCGGCATTTGCGTCTTCTAGTTGTAAATGCATCAGCAGTGATTCCACATGTCTGTTGGTGAAAGGAAGTGGAACCCTGCCCCTAACAGTCGGGACTACGTAGCTTCTACTCGGATCCAATTGATCGACTAATTGATCGACTGTTGGAGTAACCAATTAAGTAACTACATTGATTGATTGATTGATTGA